CATCCCTCACAAATCCAGCGTAACCGGCTCCTGCTGACTCAGCCTTGCCCTGCCCTGCCATTCCCAGCTCCAGCCATCCAGCACTCGGTTCTCTGGGGTCCTGATCACCTCCACACCAGGCTGTCCCACAGGCCAAGAGCCACAAGATGTTTCACTGCAGCCTCCCTGGGTACATAAATCAGATTTAAAGGGCACCTGTGTGGTATTTCCCAGCCCTGCTGACAGGCACCAGCAGGGCCCAGGGGATCAGTATCCCACTGCCGAGCACACGGATGCTCTGGGGGCATTGGAGTGGTCCAGCAGCACGAGGTGCCAGCCTGAAGTGCCTGATGGCCTTGGAGAAACTACCTCCCAGTTAGTTAGGAGTGACTAACTAAATATTCCATGCAGCACTGGAACACTTTCTGTTGCATCAATAAGTAAAAGCAGGCCTGGGACATTTCACGTGAGCAGCTGGAGTGATGCTGCCCACACCGGAGTCTGCCCCGTTCCCATCCATACACCTTTCTCTTGCCAGAGACTTTTCCCAGCCGGATCTGAGGACACAGGGCATTTACCTGGGATCTCAGCAGCTGGAAACATTCCCTCCTGCAGGCAGGAGGAAAGCTGGCTTGTCCTCCCTCGGCTGCAGGAGCTGCCACCCGAGCCCAGAGGGAGCATTTGGTGCCCGAGCTTTTCAGGGATGGACCTTCCCAGGCACAGCCAGACCCACCCCGGTGGTGGGGGGGGCACTGCCCCAGGCTGCCAGGAGGAGGGGACAGGCACAGCCAGCCAGAGGAACGTGTCCTTGCTCTGCAAGTTGGTGGGAGGAATAACCAGGGGACTGGGGGGTGATTTCAGCCTAACACAAAACATTTGCATCCTGCCTGCTGAGGGTGCTGGGAAAAGGGCCAGAAGGGCTCTTCAGGGAAAGAGCCCCAAGGGATGAAAGTCCATGTGGCAAGCAGGACTTTCAGGGAAGGATTTGAGAATACCAATATATTTATTGTGGGGGTTTTATCCCAAAAGGGAAAAACTACAGGACAGGGGAACACCCTGCCTGGTAATAACTGTCATGGCATAAAGAGGGGCACGGGGGAGGGAACCCTAGGGCTGGACAGATGTCGGGTGCAGGGAGAACAACATCCCCCTAAGCCTGGCCTTGGTGTGAGCGACTCTCCAAACCTGCAACAAGATCTCCTGGCGCGGCCGTGCCCTGCGGTGGCACTGCCGGGCATTCCTGCCGGGCATTCCTGCCGGGCATTCCTGCCGGGCATTCCTGCCGCAAGCACCGACCCCGGGAGCAACAATTCCTGCGCACAGGTACTTGTGAGGTGCTTGGCTCCCCTGGAAAGGGAGAGGCAGCCCTGCAGGAGGCCCGGCCGGCGCCGCGGCGGGAGCGGAGCTGTCCCCGCGCCGCGGTAACACCGTCCCCTCCCTGCGAACAGAGACACTCCAGACTCCTAATCCCGGGCTTTGCGTGGAAATAATGATTTTAGAGTGGGCTGGAACCCCCGGGTTCCTTTTCCAGTCTCGCGACGCCTTCAGAAAGCAATTCCTTAAGCCTCCGTTTCCAAGACCCTTTTAATCTCTGCAAATTATCGGTAAGAGCCGAATCAAGGCAAAACTGCCCTCGGCCGCGATCACAGCGCGGGGAGAGGCTGGCGCTGATTATTTGGGAGAAACCATCGCTTTTGGTGGGAGCTGCCGTGGAAATAAATTAGCATTTATACTGGATTACTGAAAAACGCCCCGCCAAAAATCAGCCTCCATCTCCGTGTCAATTGTGCCTCTCTCCAAGGTCAACACCTTCGCCGCGACAGGCACGGGCTCAAATAGCAGGAACAACTTAACGTGTGGAAATGAGCCCAAATATGTCATTATTATCAGGGAGACGAGCCGGGCTCTGAAATAACATCTGCACTCGGCAGCCTGGAATCCGAGCGACCTTCCGCGGAACGGGGGTAATCAGGGAGCAGGGAAAGACATCACTCACAAAAATAAAACCCGATAGTTTGGCTCCTTGGTGGTTGCTTTCCTGTTGCTGACAGCCTCCTTGCATTTCCTACTTTTTGTTTGTTTGTTTGTTTGTTTGTTTTTAAATTTGCTTTTAAACTGCTTAACTTGGAATCCACAGTTTGATCTTCCCAGGATAGGGAAGGATGTGGTCCAGATTTGTGTGGCACCTCCAGGTAACAAAAAACATACATTCTGTAAGCGAGGAGGATTTTAAGGTTGGGGTTTTCTTGTGGGGCATTTGCCACGTCGGTGGGGTTTTCTTTACACACACGCTCCTGAGGAAATGGAACATCTTTCCCTCAGAAACCCCAGTCCCTGAAGTTGAACTGGAACAAAGGAGTTCCTTGGGCTTCTGCCACAGCCAAAAAGAAAAAGGAAAAACCTGCTCAGTCCGTCACTTCAGCGAGGACCAAGTGTTTGACCCCGACCCTGCCAAAAGGCTCCATCTCAGGGAAGTTTGGGAAGGGGTGAAAGCCTTCACTGCACTGTGACACTTTTTATCCAGAACACCATATTAGTGATGTGGGAAAAATTCCGGGGTGTTTTCAGTGCAAACCAGCAGTGAGGGGTTTTGTTGGCTGCACTTCTACCAGCTCCCCCCGGGCTGTGCTTCCCCTTGGAGGGGGATGAGCAGCCTCTACCCCCGGGATGGGAGTGAGGAGTGTCCTGGGGGCTCAGTGCCACAGCCCCATCCCTGTGGACATCCTTCATGGCTCCTCATCCCAGGAGTTTGGCCATCGCGGGCAGGGTCCTTTTCCCACCGGTTCCCCCTTCCTGGGCTGCTGTCCCAGGGCAGGCCCTTGGTTTTCACTCCTGGGCACAAGGTCCCCAGTTCCAAAAGCAGAGGCCGCAGGTACTGGCACCGTGCCCACCACCTGAGCCCTCACGGGCCACCTCGCCCGTGCCAGATCCCCAAATCCCAGGTTACAGGGCCGGTCTGACACAAACAGGACCAGTCCCACTCAGCTTTCTGCCTTATTTCCATCTGGTTTGTCACCAGAGCAGCACTGAGGCAACGGTGAGATCCCAAACTTCCTCCCTGCCCCAGTGGCTCGCAGGGAATCATCCCTACACCACCACGAGCAGCCTCCCTCCTTCCAGAGAGAAGCAGGGACACCACATTCTGCTTCTTCAGCTTCTGCATCCATCCGTCCATCCATCCGTCCACCCACCCACCCATCAGGCTCCTGGGGGTCTCAGCTGCTCAGGGCTGGGGGTGCTCCAGGGTCCCTGGTTTGCCAAGCTGCAAGCTGACCCCAGGGCTCTCTCCCTACAGGGCTGAGTGGGGTCCCCCCTCTCCTCCTGCCAGGCCAAGGGGGCTCAGGCCTGATCCCCATCTGGGGGGCAATGCCACCTGCCCTGACAACAAAAGGGCACCGCTGTGTCTGGGGAGGATGGAGATTTCAGCAGCTCCTTCCTGGAGTGTGAGTTCCATCCAGGAGGAGACCCGCTCTAAAAGGGACGGAAAACTCCAGGGGAAAAAAAAAAAATTAAATAAAATAGGAGTACAACTGTCAGCCTTCTGAGGAAGTAAGAGCTGGGCTCAGACACTGCTCAGCAGCTCAGAGAGCAGCTGGTGACAGAAGTGCCCGGGCTGGTGGGCACTGGGGGCTCTGCTGTGGGCCCCAACCCCAGGGACAGCAGCCAGAGCTGTGTCCCCTCCCCGTGGGTGCCCTGAGGGGCAGGGGGTCCCATCAGTGGGTCACTTTCAGGGCAGGGGTGGTAGCAGCCCCTGCACTGCTCCCGCAGCAACGTCGAGGGGGTTACATTTTTAAATTATTTTTTTTTTTAAAGCAGGTAACGGGAAAACGGGCTCAGGGAAAAAGGATGTAGGTGCCAGGAATTCTACCCGAACTGTGGGAAAATTGCAGCTGAATAAAATTGGCGGGAGGAGCAGGGGATTTGGACAGCGGCACATGGAGACTGGGGAGATGTTCAACTCCTGCCCCTCACCGGGATCGATCTCAGGGTCTGAGGGAGGAGCACAAACTTCAAGAAGCGGAGCTGTCCTCGCTCTGATCTTCTGTCTTTCATTTTTAATAATCACGCCAGATCTGCAGGTGCTTTGCCTCCAGAGGGATCAGGGAAAGGGTCGGGTTTGAGAGGGGAAGGGAAGGGTCCGGTCGGGAGGTGCGGGATAGCCCTGGCTCCCAAACGGGGCTCAGCCTCTCGCTCAGGGGGACGAGGGAGGTGGCTGGAGGGACAAACCCGGGATCAGCCCGGGAGCGGGTGCCCCCCCGGGAGGAGGCGCAGGTGCTGCTGCTGGCACACACCGAGTTTGACCCATTTGCCGATAAAGCGCAGCCCCGCGATCCCCCCTCCCGGTCCGGGCGCTGCGGGAGCGCGCACACGGCGCATCTGCCCGCGCACGGACCCGCGGGGCTCGGGCCGCCCCGTCGCGGCGGTGCCCGACCCAGGAGGTCAGGGGAAGCTTTGGCCTCGGGATCTGGTTGCGCCGCGTCCTCTCAGCCCGTCAGAGACTCCCCTCAGCCTCCCCTGCCCGCCGGGAGCGGCGGGGACGGGCAGGAGCCCCCGCAGCCGTTTCCCCCCGACGCGCCCGGGGTCCCCCCGCGGGAGCCCCCGCAGCCGCCCCCCGGGGCGGGAGGGTCGCGTCCCGCACCCGGCCCGACCCCCTCCCGCGGGCTCGGGCTGACCCTGGGGAGCGTTTCGTTGTCGCAAAACCAACGAACGAACGAACAACGACCGATAAAAAACCCCAAACCACAGATGCGAACGAAGCGCCAGCCCTAAAGGGGCCCCGGCGCCGCGGGGGCTCCCACCGGCTCCGCACCCCGAGGCAGCGCTTCCGAGGGGCGGGGGCCGGGCGGGAGCCGCGCACCCCCGGGGCACCGGCCCGGGAAGAGGGGAGAGGGTGTCCCGGCTCCTGCCGTCGGGGCCGGGGCCGCGGCCGTCGCGCTGCCCCGGCACGGTTTGCCCGGGGGTCGCCGCGCACCGCGGGACGGGGTCGGGACGAGGGGCCGCGGGAACGGGCGGGTACTTACGGGCGAGGGCGGCGGGGCCGCTCGGAGCCGCTCCGGCGCTGCCCCGGGGCGGCCGGGCTTAAGAGCCGTCGGGCGGGCGCAGGACAATGGCCGGGAGGAGGGGGCCGGGGCCGGGGGGCGGCGGGAGGCGGGGAGGGGCCGGGGCCGCCCGCCGCCGCTCCGCCCCCCCGCGTCTGGCGTAAACCCGGCTCCGGGCTAAAAGAACCGGCGAGCTACCGGCGCCCGGGGCTGGTGGCCGCCGCGGACGGCTCGCCGGTGCCGGCGGCAGCGCCCGGCCCGGCCAGGCCCGCCCCGTCGCGTCCCGCCCCGCCGCGCCATGTCGCTGAGCCCCAAGCACACGACGCCCTTCTCGGTCACCGACATCCTGAGCCCGATGGAGGAGAGCTACAAGAAGTTCGGCGGCATGGACGGGGCGGGCGGGCTGGGCGCGCCCCTCGGGCCCTACCGCCAGGCGCCCGTGCCCCCCGCGGCCGCCGCCGTCCCGCAGCACGTCCCCGCGGGGGCGGCCGCCTACCACATGCCCCACGGCGTCTCGCAGTTCCCGCACGGCGCCGTCGGGGGCTACTGCAACGGCGGGCTGGGCAACGTGGGCGAGCTGCCCGCCTACCCCGAGGGGATGCGGGGCGGCGCGGCGGCGGGCGGCGGCTGGTACGGGGCCGGCGGCGACCCCCGCTACTCCAGCAGTAAGTGCGGGCGCGGGGCGGCGCGGGGGGGGCGGCGGCGGCGGCGGGGGGCGGGCGGGGGAAACCGCGGCCCCGACGGGGCGGCCGCCGGCGCTGAGCCGCCTCTCCCGCTCAGTCTCCAGGTTCATGGGCCCGTCGGCCGGGATGAACGTGGCCGGGATGGGCGGCCTGAGCGGCATCGCCGAGGGCGCCAAGGCCATCGTGCCGCTCCACGCGGCCCCGCGGAGGAAGAGGAGGGTGCTCTTCTCCCAGGCGCAGGTCTACGAGCTGGAGCGGCGCTTCAAGCAGCAGAAGTACCTGTCGGCGCCGGAGCGGGAGCACCTGGCCAGCCTGATCCACCTCACCCCGACCCAGGTGAAGATCTGGTTCCAGAACCATCGCTACAAGATGAAGCGCCAGGCCAAGGACAAGGCGGCCGCCCAGCAGTTGCACCCCGACGGCGGCGGCCTCTGCCAGCAGCCCTCGCCGCGCCGCGTGGCCGTGCCGGTGCTGGTGAAGGACGGCAAACCCTGCCCGCCGCCGGGCAGCGGCACCCCGGGCCCCGGGCAGGCCGCCCCCGCGCCCCCCGCCGCCGCCCCAGCAGCCCCCGCCGCGCACCCGCACCCCGGCTCGCTGGGGCAGGCGGCCGACCTGGAGGAGCTGTCGCCCAGCCCGCCGGCGCTGCACGGCCCCGTGCCCCCCCTCGCCCCCCTGGACTCGGCCGGCGCCGACTACAACGGCGGCATGGTCAGCCCCAACCTGCTCTACGGCAGGACGTGGTAATCGGTGTGTCCCGTGTGTCCCCCCCGCGACCCCCCGGCCCTCCGAGACCGGACCCGCCGGCCCAGCGCCTGCGGGGACCCCGACGGACGCCCGTGGGCCCCCGCGCTCCCCTCCCTCCGGCCCTTTCCCGTCCTTCCTTCTGGTTCTTTTTTTTTTTTTAAAGCCTCTCCGGTTTTTTGGATAAACGGCCCCGACGGCAGCCCCGCGGCGGGGCCGAGTGCGCGTCCACGCGTGGGCTGCGGGCGTGACCGCGGCGCTCCCCGCGCGCGTGTGTGTGAACGTGTGAGTGCGCGGAGGGTGTGCGTGTGCACGTGTGTGCGTGGAGGGTCTGTGTGCACGCGTGGTCCTGGATCCGCGTCCCGCCCGTGTCTCCGCATCCCGCCCGGGAGCGCCCCTGACGGGGCGGGGGGAGCCGGGGGACCGCGGGGCTCCGCTCCCGGCCCGGCCCCGCTCTCCTGCGGCAGCCCCGGGGCACCCGGAGCCCCGGCGTGTCCCGTCACAGCCCCGCTGAGCGCCACAATAAACCTTCTGAAGTGCAACTTATCTCGGCAGAATTAATTTCGCGGGGGTGCCCCCGAAGTGCGATTCCGCTCTTGTCCCGATCGGAGGTAAATTGAGTCGCGACCCGAGAGGCGGCGGCGGCGGGAGCCGTGGCAGAAGAGCCCTGGAACGCCGGCGCTCAGATTTAAGGGGAAAAACCGTTTTTCTCGTTGTTGTTGTTAAATATCGCTCAGTAAATGAATGACCGCGCGTGGACGGGGCGCGCGTCCCGCGGAACCGCCACAGCCGCCGGCCCTTCGCTCCGCTCCCGACGAGCTCAGAGACCCGCGGAGACGACGGAGAGCCCGGGGATTCCCGGGGCTGGACCCCGCTTCCCGCCGGGATGGAGGGCGGGGATCGAGCCCCGCAGCGCCGGGGCCGCCGGGCCCGAGGATGCTCCACGGCACAGCGGGGTTTTATCCCCGCGCCTCTTCCCGGGGAAACCCCGCGCGTCGGGAAACACTTCTCGGGAGTTTCCGGCAATTTTTTCTTTCTTTTATTTTTAATTTTAATTTTATTTTATTTTTAACAATAAAAGGAAGCCTTGTTCTCACGAGTCGGCTGCTTCGTTCCCGGTGTACGGACTGATGGACAACACCAAAAGCTCCTTCCTTCCGCCTCCCTCTCGGGCGCCAAGGATTTAATTCCGTGCTCCCCCTGCCCCGTCTCCCCCATCCTCGGGGGACCCGCTGGCCCCTGGCCCGGGCAGGGGCTCCCCAGCCCCGGGCAGTGCCAGAGCCCGCGCCGCTCCCGGCTGTGCCGTGAGGGAACGATTCTGGGGTGGAAAACAGGGATTTCAGCCTCTGCCAGACCACGGACCGGCTCCCGGACCCCTTCCCGAGGCCCATGCAGGAGCCGGGAGGGGAAGTGGGGCGTTCTCCCGGGTGGGGAACTGCAGGGACACCCCTTCCCCTCATGGCAGGTGCCACACGGGGACAACCAAGGCTCCTTCCCTTTCCATAGGGGAGTGCTTCTTCCCACTGGCTCCCACGGGGGACAGGGGTGTGAGTGATTTCCCTCTCCAATTCTGTCAAATCCAAGGGGATGTGCCAGGCTCAGCTCCAGCCTGAAAAAAAAAATTCTCTCTCTAGGTAGAGCAGCTTCAGGAGCTCCACGGGGATGCTGTCCCAGGGTGACCCCCAAAGCCACCAGCAGCTGGGGTGCAGAGGCAGCCACAGCAGAGCCCGAGGACGGGGGATGCTCCACGGTCAGGCCCTGCATCCATCCCACCCCCGGGCCATGGAGCCCAGGAACCCAACCCTCTGGGAGAGCACACTGCTCCAGGCATCGCTCCCAGGGCCCAGGAGGGCATTCCGGGCTCATCCCACCTTGGGCATGACCCACCCTGCTCCTTCCTCCACCCCACTCCCAGGAAAACTCACCCTCGCTGCTGGTTTTGTCCAGCTCAAAAAGCAAAATGATTTTTTTTTTGTTTTGAGCCCCAAATCTTTTCCCATCCCAGGGAGAAGGCCGTTCCCGGAACGCTGCATTACAATGAAGGATTCTGCTCCACCCTCAGTCACTCGAAAATAATGAATCCAGTTTGATGATTCCTTCCTCCCAAGGTTACACCCGGGTCTCTCTGGGCTTTTCCCTGGTTGCTGGTGATTAACACCTGCGCCCTGGAAGGAAGGAGCATCCAGCACTGTGGCACCGGGGCCAGAGCAGGGCTGGGAAGTTTACTGGTTTACACAATACACGAATTTAAGGGAAAAAAATCCAAAGGGAAAGCTGAACTGGATGCTCTCTTCCTTTTTTAGTTTTGTTAGTTTTGTTGCTTAAACAAATATTTTCAATGCTAACATAGAGGCCGGGTAGAATCATTTTCCAAGAATTCAACATAAACGCGGGCGCACCAGTAAAAGATACAAATAGGGCCTGGAGGGGGTTGAAAATGAACCACACGCTGCTGCTCAGAATTTCAAAAGCCACTTTATAAAGCAAATAAAAATATTTACCGATTTGGTAACACTCACACAGAAAAATCCCTAGAAAGAGGTGCTAAAAACGAACGGAATCTCTGCCCTTCCGCGGCTATTTTAAATTAGGTATCAAACAGACAAATCCCACCTCCCCTGCTCGGTTGTGCCCCCAGTAACCAAGCCAGAAACAGGCAGGTGTCGCAAAAATCGAAATGTTTTACTTCCAAGTCCCCCAAAAAATCCGCCCCTCTGCGAGACACTGAAGGAACATCCGCCCGGGACCGGCGAGGGCCGCGTGTTCCAGCGCCGCCCGCTGCGCCCCGGGAGTCCATCAAATCCCACTTCTGGGCATTCTTTAAAACTCCACGGCTGCTTTCAGGCTCTCGTGAGTGGAGCAGGGGGTGTTTGGAGTCCGGAGTGAGGGGCACAGCTCGGATACGTAAGGAAGACAGCGCAGGACCTCCACCTCCTCCAGCGGCTCCCGGGCTTGCTCCACAACCCACCGCTTCCCAGCCACGCGGCCCCCCTCCCAAAAAATCATCAGCACCAGGTCCATAAGAAATGTGCACATTTTAAACAAGTTTAAAAACTACAGGGATGGTAATTAACAGTTTCATTGATTTCTTTTTTTTTTTTCCCCCTCCCTCCCCCCCACAAAAAAATAAAAAGAACAAAAAGAAAAAAAAAAAAAAAAATCCGGACGTTTCCTATATTTAATAAGAAAAAAAAAAAAACCAAAAATAGAAGCCAGGAGCTAATTCCAGCTGTACCTTCCTGCGGGAGGAGGGAGCGGGTAGGGCCTCCCGGGGCCGTACGCCTGCAAGCAAACAAACAAAAGCAAGCATTTATTTTTTGGATTAACAGCACAAGTAAACAAGTTGGGAGAGCTGGAGGCGCCACTCGGGACTGGAACAATGCCCCCTCCACATCCCTCTGCACAGAGAGGTACCGAACCCCCTCCACCACGGTTACAGGGCTGGACATCCAACAGCTCTCCCAGGAAACACAGGCAGGGCTGAACCCCCGGAGGGGAGCGGGGCTGCAGCACAGCACCGGCCACGGCTTCGCTCCGGGAAACAAACCCACCCAAAGCCAAGGGACTTCCCAGCAGTGGCACCTCTGGGTGTGCTTTGCTTTTAGAGCCCCAGGCAGAGAGCAGCAAATGGGGTATCTCACACTCAGGGCAGACCATCACAGCTTCTTTTTTTTTTTCTCCTTAAAATACTTACGTGTATGGAAGTATTTTAAGGGAAAAAAAAAATGAAAACTGTATTTTTTACAGAAGCAGCGTTTTCCAGACTCATTCACGCTTTTAATAGTAGGCCAAAGAGACCTAAATCCTGCTCTGGAAATCACTCCAAATGAGATTTATTTTTGTACTTAAATTTAGGCATTTAAGACATCAACTATCAAGCGAAAAATCCACTGGAAAATTTCACAGAATCGCCGGGAAGCATCTTAAATAATTTCCAAACCTGACATACTGCAGAGACCAGAAAGTAAACGAAATATGGTGCACCAACAACACCAGTGACAGGCTTTGTTTGCCCCTTACTTGGGGTGTTTTTGGTGGGGAGGGGAAGAGGGGCTGCCTCTCCTCTCTTCCAAAGAGAAATCCACCTTTACCCCGGCCCACAGCAGCCGAGACATCCCCGGGAACCGCGGGGCCGGCGACCCAACCTGCCGTGAGGCTCCCCGCAGCCTGCACGGGGAGGGAACCTTGGAGGTTCCTTCCCAGGTTTGATTGCAGGCAATTAAAAAAAGGAAACAGGTTGGCTACATCCCTTGGGGAAAAAAAAAAATAAAAAAAAATCCTTGAAATCCAGCAGCAATCCCCGTGCAGAGGGACAATGCCGAGGCCCGGGAGAGCCGCGCGCGACGCCGATCCGGGCGCTCCGTTGTGTGCGGCCACAGGCTGGAATAGAAATGCCCAACACCTGCACAGCACCACCAAGTTTATTCTTTCGTTTTCTGGGAGAGCTGGAAGGCCCCAAACCCCCCACTCCCAGGGAGCCCCCCGGATCCATGGCAGCTGCATTAATTTTGTAAGCACTCCGCGGCAGCGCGTTTATTAACCTCTTCAGGCCGCGTTCTGTACGCTGTAAAAAAAGAATTCAGAGGTGAAAGGGCCCAAAGATAATTATTTATGCTGCTACGTGTCACCACTTCCACTTGAATCCCTTTTCAAGGCTTTAACGCTTTGAAATTTGCAGGCAGCAAGGCCGGATTCAATGATTGGGTTGGCACCTGAAAGCCTTTCAGGTACCTTCTCATTTCGCTCCAGCCCCGAGGAAATAATGACATTGGAAAGTTCATTTTAAAAATAACAACAACAACAAAAGGCAACAAAAATCCAAGGGGAGATAAAAAACAGTTGGAAGGCAACACACTGCAAAGGGAAAGGGAATTTTTAAGGAAGTAAAATTACTGGAGCTGAAAGATTTGTCCTTAACACCCACTATGCGTGGGTATAAATAAAAGGGTTGTCACCACCCGGTTCTAACACTTCCTGCACCAGCAGATGGGTCTGTGCCACTGCCAGGGGAATTCTGGTTTGGACAAGACCACAGTATGATCCAGGCTGTGGGTGCCACGAGGCTCCAAGACAGCTTCCCAAGAGGGAACTAACCAGGGATGCCCTTCCCAACCCTTCTGGAAGGCTATTCCTGCTCATCCTCGTGACTCCAGCTGCGGCTGTTGGGCACTAAGATTTAAGGTTGGGAATGAACTACCTGGAGCACAGATTCCCTTAGCAAACACAGCCCCCCACGCTGCCCAGGATGGAGGGCAGGGCAGAGTGTGCAGGCAGGCACATTTGTTCAAGGGTCTGTTCCCCAGCCCAATCAAACACTGCCCAGGCTCCACTGGCACAAAGATCCTCCACTGACTTCTCTCCATTATCCCAGCAGCCCCTGTTTATGGATTAGTGCAATCAGGCATTTTTTCCTCTGGTTCTGGTGTTTTGGGTAAACCTGTGCAACCCAAAATGAAAGACTTCTGAAAATCGATCCTACTAATACACCTCATCCACATTTAAAATACAAACACCACTGGGGCCTAGTTGGGCAAAGGTTCAAGCCCCACCACACTTCCCCAGTAAGCTCAGTGTGACCATCACCCATGCTGGTGAGTTCTGCTGCCAGTTAAATCCAGTGCTGGCAGGATTTGTACTGGTACTGCCTCCCCTGTGCTGCTGCTGTGCCAGGTAACACAAGTGTCTCTGCACTGGGGAGGTGGGCAGGCTGAGAGGAGGGAAAAAAAAAAACCTAGGAGTGACTAAAAAGTGACTTGTCTTGAGTTGAGCCAGGTTCCAGGAGAAGGCACGTTTCCAACAGTTTGTGCCTTGGTTTCCAGGTAAAATATTGGGCAACTGTGCTGTCACCCAGCAGCTGAGCCCTCCTCCTCCCCAGCACTGAGCAGTAACCTTTCCCACAGTTCTGACTTCCCCAAGCAGCAACAGAACCAAGAGTTTAACCTAGATACCTGAAATCTATTTTAAATCAGCATATAGCACTGGAAACGCTCAGAGATCTGGAACAAGACTATATAACAGATCACATTTTACTGGGAACAACCCCCCTCCCAAAATTCCCTAAGCAAAGTCACCTGCTATCTTCAAGTAGCATTTTCACTCTGTGGCATTTTCATGAACTGCTGACAGAGTCACCTGTAATTTTGGATGAGGTTCTCCCATCACGTTCCCTCGTTTCCATGTAACCACCCAGAGCTAT